GGACTTCAAGTTTACAGGAGAAATAGCAGATGGAGGAACATATTAAACAACACCACAGAGACGGCATCAGCCACATTCAGGAGAGGAATTCTATAAGACAAACAACCTAGTTTCTTTAGCAAATATGAGGGGACAAAAGGGGGGGAAAGAACCAATAATTCAGGAGATACAAAAGAGAGACATCATTACATTACACTGGATACATTACAAAGATACATTACAAAATGTAACGTGTGAGACTTACAATATCCTGATTCAAAACAACCAACTATTAAAAAAAAATTATTTGACAATCAGGGAAATATGAATAGTGAGTGACTGGTTATTTGGAAATAATGACTTTAGGTGTGTTAAGGGTATTGTTGTTATGTTAAAATTAATCAAAAATCCTCTGATATATGACATGATGAAGAGAGCACTTCACCTCTGTGACATTCTTCTCCCAAACCTATAACCCCAGTCTATCCACGAGAAAGACATTAGGCAAACCCAGACTGAGGGGCGTTCCACGAAATATCGTACCAGTACTCCCCAAACTGTCAAGGTCATCAAAAAGAAAGTCTGAGAAACTGTTACAGGTACTGTGACTGTCACAGACCAGAGGAGACTAAGAAGACACAATGACTAAATGTGATATGTTCCCCGATGGGATCCTGGAAAACAAAAGGGACATTAGTGTAAAAAATAGTGAAATCCAATTAAGTCTGGAGTGTAGTTAATAGGAATGTCCCAATGTTGGTTTCTTAGTTTTGACAAACGTACTAGGATAGTGTAAGATGATATTAGGGAACACTGGGTGAGGGTTATGCAGGAATTCTCTGCCTTTTAACTTCTGTAAATCTAAAATTATTCCAAAATTTTAAAAGGTTTATTAGAAAAAAACTAACCAAAGAGTCCTTATTTTTTTTTTTTTTTTTTTTTACAGATATCTACTAGTAGGTTCAATGAAATGATGAGATGTTTGGGCTTTACTTCAAAGTAGTTCACTGATTGGGGGTGGGGAATATATAGATAAAACAAGGCTGGCCTTAAGTTGGTAATTGTTGAAGCTGGGTGGTCAGTGCATAGGGATTCGCTGATGAGTGTCTGTCTCCACCTTTATATGTTTGTAAACCTTCATAATAAAAAAGTTGGCAATAAACAAACATGGACTCTGGAGCCAGACTGCCTTGAAAGTTACTTAATCTGTTTGCGTGCTGCAGTTTTCTCACTCATAAATTGAAGATCATTGTACCTGCCTCACAGGGTTGTTATGAAAATGAAGTGTCAATACATAAAAAGGGTAGAACAATGCTTGGCTACTGTCATCATCTTATGGGGAGTAAATGGTCACAGACCAATGCCCATCACCCTTTCTCCACCCTCTGACTCACTGCTCTTCCTCCCTGCTCTTCCTCCCTGCTCTGTTCTACAGTGAGACCCTTGAGGGAGGAGAGGAAGAGGAGTTCTGAAGTGACTCCAGGGAGTAAGGAAAGACCTTGGTGCCTGCAGAAACTGGTGAGATTAGCTGGGGAATAAGAGTGGTGTCCCCGGCCTGGGTGCTGGGAATGGACCCTGGATTACGAACCACCCTGAAGCAGGCTTTTTTTTTTTTTCTTCTTCTTCAACCCCCCTCCCTCCTGAAGCAGGCTTCTGTCAGGCCAGCACAGGGCACTATGAGAGTATATTAGACACCTACTGCATGCCAAACACTGAGGACAGGACCCAGAGATGTGGGCTGGACCCTGAAGGAACTCATCAACTCAGTATATACACGGTTGACCTTTGTGTCTTTAGATTCACTTCCTTAGAGACCCCCACTCTGGGGTGTCTCAGGGCTGATGAATCTTACAATGTCAAACATGCCCCCACTAAGGTGCAATTTTACAAGACCTCTAAAAGACAACTTGGAGAAAAGCTGGCCCACCTAGCCAATTACAACCTTGTAAAATCAACTTAATTCAAGTCTACAAAGACCTGCTTAAGTGTCTGTAGCACTGTAGCACATTCATTTATTCAACAAATCTTTATTAAGCACCTCTTAAGTGCCAGGCACTGTGCTGAGCCCTGGAGAGTCAATGGGGAGTGAAGACAGGTACAGTCCCTGCTTCCACAGAGCCTATGGTCAAAAAGGGAGATGGCAATAAAATAATCACCCCAAATGAACATATACTCTGATATAGGTGCTTTGCAGTAGGTGAGCACAGTCAAAAACTCACTGGGGGTGGGAGGAGGCTTCCCCAAGGAAGTGATGCTTCATGGACACATCAGGGATGAAGAAGAGTGAACAAGAGTTGGGGTAGGGGAAGAGGTGATGTTCTAGGCAGATGGCCCAGTGGTGGGAGGGAACATGGTGAATTCAAAGGCTGAAAAGCAGCCAGTATGGTGGGAAAGAGAAAAAGAGGGGGTGGGTGGGCGGTGGGATTCAAGGAAGAAGTCAGCAGGGGTGAGCCATGCAGACCTTTGGGGCCCATTCAGATATGAGGTCTTTATCTCAGAAGCAGGGGAAGCCACTGGCAGGCATTTAAATGTGTAGGGGGGGCAGGAAGTCACCTGATCAGACCTACATCGTTGGGACTCTGCAGTGCAGAAGCAGGGGTTGGAAGAGGGCCAGAGTGGAAGCAGGGAGACCTATTGGGAGGCTTCTGTAGTGACCTAGGAAATAGATGACTGGGTCTTGATCTAGAATTCTGGCAGTGGAGATGGGCAGACTTGAGCACCGTTTAAGAGGTGAGATCACTGGGCCTCTGGTTGTATTTAGAGGGTGAGGGAGAAGAGAAGTATATAGGTGACTCCCAGGTTTCTGACTCCAGAGATTGGATGGCAAGTTGGGCTACTTCAAGAGCCAGGAAGCCTTGCAGGAGGAGCAGGTTTGGAGGAAAGAAAAGTGCCTTAACATGGATGAATCACATGCAGTGTGCTTTATGCAGGTCACTATGCTGGAAGAGGAAAGCGTCAACAGCAAATACAACAAACACTTTTACTGCCTTTAAAAGCAGTGCCAAAAACAGGTACCAGCAATGGCTACAGGAATGGAGTAGCCTCAAGTGTGTATCTATGGCCCAGCAGTGATTACAGCATGAGAGTCATTTAAGCTTCTAAGAGATATTCGATAAATGTCTATTGCGTAACTGAATGTCCTGAGTGCCACACACAGATAACAGGCACCAGGGGAAACACACACACACACACACACACACACACACACACACACACACACTTTTACATCTTTACTCAGCACATTACTACGTGTCTAACCCGCCTCAGGGTAAAATAGAGACAGGGAAGGACAAGCCCAGCCCCTTCTCTCCAAAGGCCTAGGAAGGTCTGAGCAAAGCAAGTGACCACAAAGCAAACATTTAAAGGACCACAGGGCAGATTGTAAGGAAAGGTTGAGCTAAGAGGATCCCACTTGGGGTAGCCAAAGAGGCCTGCAGGAGGAAGTCAGTCATTTGATGGGACCAGAGGGGTAACAGTGCCAGAGAAGACAGCAAGTGTCTCTGACTGAGTCTTGAAGGACGAGCAGAGTGTGTGTGTGTGTGTGTGTGTGTGGTGAGGGGAGGACAGGCAACGAAGGGTCACTCAAGTCCAGGCAGGGGCACCCCTGACAATCTCGCACTAGGTGGCATCCTACACTAGCAGGAAGACACCAGTCTCACCCCAGATACCTACATGCTGAGATGGTCTATTTTTAAAAGGAATTAAAGTCCTGCTTAAAAACATTGGGGATATTTTTTTCAGAAGGCTCAGGAGCACAGCTCCTTAATTATCAACCAAGCTCAGGGCACTCCTTTGCTGGAACCAGTCCCTCTCCCTTCACCACCATTTAAAAAAATAAAACAAAACACAGCACCGACCTTTGTACTATTTCCTTTCTTCCTGCAAAGTTCTTTCTGGCCGCCTCAGCTGCTACCCACCCCGCGGCGAGCCCTGGTTCACTTAAGCCGAGTCTCTCTGCCCTCTTCCTAACAAATAAAGTCCATTTCCTCAGCGCGGGAGGCAGGGGGCCCGAGGGTCTGCGGCGTGGGAACAGCCCCTCCCAGCGTCCTGGCTCCCGGGCCCAGCCAGCACGTCTGGGCTGCCTGTTCTATCCCCGTCTCCGTGGCCGAGGGCCGAGTTAGCGATGCCCTGGCGGGGGTCCCGGAGGAAAAGGACAACTGTCATCGTGTCCCTAAGAGCCCGAGCGGGTCTGCACAGAGTCGAGCGTTCTGTGGGGCCGGGTGCGGGAGACCCTCTGCGGAGGACGCAGCGTGGGAGGGGCTGGCGCGGGCTCCCGTGGACGCGGCCCCTCCGAGGGGCGACGGCCCCAGGGGATGACACAGCGTTTCGCCCACACCCCTGGCTGTACCCACACGTCCTAGCTCCTTCCCTGCAGGGCACCAGCTGGCCGATTCGCTGCGTCGGCGAATCCTAAGCGGGGTCGGGGGTGGGGAGAACGGGGGTCGCCGGGCCGCCGCACCCCTCGGCATGTGGCCCTATTCTGGCGCGCTTCGTGGACTCGGCTTGGGGTCGAGGGCTGGGAACGTGACCGCGGCGCGGACGCTGCCCGGCAGCTACGCCAGCAGCTCGAAAGGAATGTCAGCCCCCACCCGGGAAAAAGTTAGAAGGCATCCCGGCCACGCCAACTTCTCATCCGGGGCCGGACTCGAACTTTGCGCCCGGAGCGGACGGCTGCACAGCCCGGAGCGACCCTGCGGGAGCCGCTCGGACCCGAGCACCGGGGATCCCCGGCCGCGGCCGGCGGCGGCCAATCAGAGAGCGCGTCGGGTGGGCAAGGCTGGAGGGCGCGGGCAGCCGGGGAGTGACGGCCCCAGCGGCCAATAGGGAGCCAAGGTGGGAGTCCTCGCCCGCCCCACTGACCAATGGGAAAGGGTCGACTGTGGCCGAGGTCCCCAAGGCATTAGCTGCAGGCTTCGGTGGCCGCGGGTCGGACACCCCCGGGCTGAAGGGGACTTTGGAGGGGAGTTTGCTGGCCCTCCCTGTGCCACACGCCGACCCACAGGCCACAGCCCCGTCCTCACCTGCTGAAAGCGGGGTTTGCCCAACTGGAAAGGAGGTGCATCGGTCGAGGCGCTAGCGGCACTAGCCGCCGCCGCCGCCGATGCTGTAGTCGCTGTATCCGCCATGGCCACTGACGCCCGCAATCTCCGGCCCTTTTAAAATGTCCCTCCTCGGCCCCCGCCACAGCTGCCTCTCCCGATTGGCTCTAAGCAACCGCAGCGAGCGGGAGGCGCAAGGAGTTGTGGGGAGTGTAGTTTTTCTCGTCGCGGCGCTTGACAACCCGAGACTGCGGAGAGTTGCATCAACACAAATCGGGTCTCGGTCCCGCAGCCAGCCTTGCAGGGGTCCGCAGTCGGAGAAAGGTGTGTATGCACGACTCTGAGGTCCCGACGGGGGCCACGGGAGCCCTCGCTGCTTACCTGCCTCCAGAAGTCTGAGTTACTGCGGTAGGCGTCGCTCCCCGAATGGCAGTCCAGGAGAAGGGCCCCGACTCAAGCGGGCCTGACCCAGGAACAGATGGGCAAGGACTCCAGGCAGAGTGGGGTTAATCTCAGAAAGCTTTCTGCAAGGAGTTGCACTGCGAAACCTTCATGCAGTTTCTTCAGTCGCCACCCTGCCCATTCGCCCTGTGCTTTCCAGCCACCCTGACACTCAGATCCTGGAGCGTGCACCCTTGAACATTCTGTACCCAGAAGACAAACTTTTAACTTCGCCTGACGCTGGCTCTCTCTCTGGCCTCAGCTAAATATTGCATTTCCCAGTCTATCACCCTACTTCCACAGAATCCCAGACACGCTCCTATAGCACCCAGTGCTTCTCTTTTGCAGCCCTTAATTTTTTATGGTTTTGGGTATCTGTCTCCTACTGTAAGGTCCACAGGGCAGAGGCTATGACTTTTTTCCCATCCCTTCAGATTCTGACAGAGGCTGTGACTTTTTCATTCACTGCTAAGTCTTCAGTGCCAGGCTAAGTCTTCAGGGCTCACAGTAGGAACTCAAGTATGTGTTGGCTCTGAGTTAACCAGTAGGGGCTTAAGAGCCCTGGCAGCCTATTCCTCCTTTAACCAACCAAGAAAGATCCCTCCAGAGGCCTCATTACTGAGCAGGAGAACTGGAAGGTGAGGTGCGGAATGGGATTCAGTGGCGTTTATCAAGCAGCAGCCTCAAGGACTTTAGGCAAGGTGGAGTACTGCAGTGTAGAGCAAGCTCCAGCATGGATAATGCACACTGCTGCAGCCCGGAGTAGCTGAATATTCCCAGCTGAAGTACCGGATCAGTGAGCCAGACTGAGGGTAGGGGGTGGGGAGGAAAGCTGCCTATTTCACCCAAGAGAACAGTAGAAATACTTGGTTTTGACTCCAGGGAACCGACTTTGGGTCTCATTCATGTCATGGCAAGGTGCAGGGTTGGCTCGTGTCTGCCTGTGTCTTTCTGGACACTGCATGAGCGGAGTTCCCCATCCACTAATAATCGAACCACAGGAAACAGACTTTTCCTAAAGCTGAAGATTCTAGCATAGCCATGAAGAACAACTTGTATCCTGGATTTGTATCTTATCTTCCCCTACTAAACTAAGCAGCTTGAGAATAAGAATCAATTTTTTTATCCTCTATATTCCCCCACAGTACCCAATAAATGTGAGTATCCTGGGAGTGAGAAAAGACTGAGTCCAGGCCACTGGGCAACACTGTGCTGCTGCCCTCTGATGTCAGGACAGGGGCAGTGTCATCCAAGAACCCCATCACCTTGATTTAAGGTTGCCTCTTCCCACAACCCAACCGCCTTTACCCGCTCATTTCAAAACAGGAACACAACAGAGCCACCTGCAGCACATGGACTTTTTATTCTTCATAAAGTGCTCAGACATGAAGAATAAGCTCTTTATAAACAGGAGTTACAACTAGGAGGACAAACAGCAAAGCAGAACTGTGCCTGCTCCCTGCCCCACCCCACCTGCAGCCTTCCTCCAAGTTGTGGCCAGGAGCAGAAACATCAAACAAGAATGTTGGGCAACAATTCAAAAACTCTCCCAAAGACATCCCTGCCCTGGGTACTTGGGGTGCCCATAATCCAAGATGAACTGATCAGGGCCAGGGGACTGAATAAAGCCCAGAGGAATACCTAGTAGGGAAGTGATTCCTTCTCAGAAGAGATACCGCAGAAGAGAAACACCTAATTACCCCTAAAAACCATGCCTGAAGTCCTGGGTCTCTGTGGATACTTTTCTCCACCTTGATGAGTGGACCTTAAGGTAGGTAACTTTATACGGGCTTTACTCCATGTGTGGGGCTTCTCTGTTCCATCCTAGCAGAAAACAGACATCACCCATACTGCACATCTCCTGAGGCCTTCCAAGTGAACCCACAGGCCCTCGTAAGAGGAAGAGTTGGTCCCAGATGAGCTCTTGCCTCCTCACTAGGCCAAAAGTGTTCTCCTTCAGCACCTCCTCACCCCAAACTTTTGCTAATCCACACCACCAAAGGTTCCCTGCAGATGCCTTGGGGAAGCCTGCTGTATTTTCTACAAGCAAATCAGGAGCTGGGCCAAAGGACAGACACTTCATTTCAAAGTGCACTGCAGCCAAGCCAGGCAAAGTCATGGGGCAGAAGGGACAGGCTAGGACAGCAGCTTAGTGGATGGATGGGAAGGCAACAAAGGCTTTTTCCTAAGTACAGGTGTCTCCCAAAGGCATAATGGGACCTTTCACTTCCAGACCAGCTGACTGGTCTACACAGCTGAGTCCTGAGGCTAGACGGAAAGAGAGTGAGCAGGGCAGTCCCTGGCCTACCTGCCCACCTGCCTAACAGTAGGTTTTATCCTAGGATCCTCCTACTGGGGTTAAGGGAGGAGGAGAAGATGGCAGGAAGGTTGAAGGAGCAGCAGCAGCTTGGCCAGACCCTTAACTGAGATCAACTCTAGGAGAGGGGAAGAGCATACAGCAGGGCTGCCCCCACCCCCGACTCCCATTCCCAGGACCCCGATAGAGCCACCCCTATGTGCTCAATCGGTGGGAGAGGGACGCCACACAGGGGGAGAGGTCAACAACCAGAGGCTCTTGACCCCACCCACAAAAGGCACATTTTAATTGGTTTCCAAAGTTCAAACCCTGTGGCAACAGAGTTTTGGCATCTGGACAGGCAACAAGAACAGACATGGAGGTTTGACCCTCAACACATAAGCAGCCCAAAGCCCCGACCTGGAGAAGCCTATGCGTCAGAGGTGAAGGTTATGGAGGAGCTATTCCCCCATCCGCCCCCACCCTCCACACATTCACAGGTGACACTCAAGGGAAAGGTCAAACAGGGGCGGGGGGGGGAGCAGCCTGGAGAACACACATCATCCACCTCTGTCCACACCGGTCCCGCTCCACAAACAGCTGGAGATGGAAACAGACTTGGGACATGGCTGAGACCAGATCACACAGGTTCCTTGCTCTCAGGGGAATGCAGGTGAGGCTGAAGAGTAGGAGCCCTGGCTGCCCATAACTCATAGACAAATGGGCAGCTTGGTCCCTGTCCCAGTAATACTAGAAGCCCCTCCAGGGGCTGGAGGGAAATGAACAGGATGAGGGTTAGGCCGTGGGAGGAAATGGCTGACCATCCCTGGGGGATTATAAAGTATGTGCTAGCAACCAGCCTTATCCCAGATGCCACATCAAACTGCACCTCACCCCTGCTTCATCTGGAGGGCTAAATGCCTTGTTTCATTTCCCTGGACACCCCCCTTCCCAAAGCTAAGGGGTATGAAAACAGGCAGGTGGGAAAGACCCAGGGCTCCCAAAGATACAAGTTGTACATGGAATCTGACACCTCCAAAGGGAATCCAAAGGGCCCCCTTCCAGCAGCCCCAGCAGAGGCAAGAGGGAGAGGGGAGCAGGGGGTGACAAGGAGGGCACACTATACCCTGCCCAGGTGACAGTGAGTTCAGTGGGAGGGCAGGCGGGTGGCAGGTCCATGCCAACCCTCCTGGGGGTGGGAGTGAAAAGGGCTATTTGGGGGAGGTGGGGGGGATCTGCAGCAGTGTGGGCGAGGTCTCCATGATCCGCACCAGCAGCCGGTCGATGTAGCTCTCCAGCTCCTGCACATGCTCGTCGCGCTGGCTCAGCTCCCGCTCCCGCTGCAGGAGCAGGCTGATGAGCTCGTCGTGGGTCAGGTGGTAGTACTTGGCCGACTGGTCCAGCACAGCTGAGTCCTGAGGCCAGACAGAATGTGGGTGAGCAGGGCAGCCCCAGGCTTCCCTGCCCACCAACACCCTGGTTTCGCCACCACAGGACCTGGGGCTGCCTCCATCTCCGATGCCAAAGACAGCCCCACTGGCTTCAAGACTCTGGAGGGGGTCCCCAGCCTGCTGCCTGCTCCACCCTCCCCAGCACCCTGCCTCAAGACTCCTGGCCTCTCTCCGGGAGACAGCGCCACATGCTCTGCCAGATGCCCCCTGCTGTGCCTCACCTTCAGCCTCTTGGTGTCCACAGTCTGGCCAACCTGGGGGGCCAGAGCCAGAGGCTGAACGCTGCCGGATGCGACTGTCTTGAGCTTCTCCAGCCCACTGCTCAGGGCTGTGCTCAGGCTGGAGCGGGACTGCTTCCTGTCAGCACTGCACTCCACAGGGGCTGCACTGAGGGGCTTCACGGGGTGGGGACTGTGAAGACAGACAGGAGATGGGTTATGGGGAGACGACAGTGGCGCGGGTCAAAGGTGGGGCTGCCTTCTCTGTGCAGCCTCCAGGTCTGCTGGACAGAAAGCCCACCACCTGGTGGTAGCTGCCCCTCCACAGTCAAGGTCTCCAGGGCAGCTGCACCCAGCACTCCTCGGCAATCCTCCCAGCTCTCCTCAGTCCTCACCCCACCGCCTGCTTCCTCCCCATTTCCCTGCCTCATTGACCTGATGACCTGCCCCTTCACAGGGATGACAGAGGCTATCCGACAAACTTCTCTGCACCTGCACCCAGTCTTTGCCAAGGATGCCCCCTCAAGATGCCTTCCCTCCTTCCTCTTCTATATTATAGCATTTCTCTAGGAGGGTGACCAACCTTCTCAGTTTCCAAACTCTCCCAGGACTGCAGATTCCCAAGACATGGGACTTTTAGTGCTAAAACCAGGAAAGACCTGGGCAAACTGAGATGCTTGGCCACACACCTCTCCCTATTGGTTGCTTCCCATCTACATTTAGACAGGCCTGCAAAACTCTCCCTTGACCTTGCATTTGCTCTCGCTATCATCCTTAGTCACCTCAAACCTCTCCGGGGCATGTAGACTACATTTGTCTCTAACTTCTTACCTTTATGTGCCTCCTCAACCCATCACAACAGCACGTCGGTCCCCACGGCCCACCACGAGTGTACCAGATGAGGTCACCAAGCCCTGCTGGTTCTCACCTGACCAACCTCTCTGTACAGTGGACACTTGGACTGCTCCTTCCTTGGGGCTGCTCTTCTTTTCCATTTTCCCTCAAGACCTCCATCTAGTTTTCTGACCTCTGATAGCCCCTACTCAGTCTTTGTTTTTTTTTTTTTTTTTTTGAGACAGAGTCTTGCTCTGTCACCTGGGCTAGAGTGCTGTGGCATCAGCCTAGCTCACAGCAACCTCAAACTCTTGGGCTCAAGCGATCCTCCTGCCTCAGCCTCCCAAGTAGCTGGGACTACAGGTGCGCGCCACCACACCCGGCTAATTTTTTCTATTTTGGGTAGAGACTGGGTCTCGCTCTTGCTCAGGCTGGTCTCAAACTCCTGAGCTCAAGCAATCCTCCCGCCTCGGTCTCCCAGAGTGCTAGGATTATAGGCGTGAGCCACCATGCCGAGCCTCCCTTCTCAGTCTTAACTGCTAGTCTGCCCTTGGATTCCCACCTCTCCTCCTCCTTGGCTCCCACCACCCCCTAATGTCTATTCTCCAGCCCAGATCCCCCTACCGGGCTGTAGATCCACAGTTGCAGGCTGGCTTGCTGCCTGCAGGGTCCCCTTCGGGTGTATCATGCTCTCCTCCACACCTGCCCTTTCCTCTGTGCTGCCCCAGCAGTGAGCAGCACTGTTGGCCTGCCATGACTCAGGTCAGAAAGGCAGGAACCAGGGAGTCCCACTGACAAGCCCTGCCCGCTTCCTACCTTCTCTCAAACCATCCCCTCCTCTCCAAGCCAGTGCTTGCTAAACCTTCCTTCCAGCCACAGCCACTAAATCAGCTCCCCCATCCTAGTCTTGCCCACCTCCACCCATTCCTCCATTCTGCTGCAGGACAATGACCTCAGCCTTTCCAATGCTTGAGGATCCTTTAATGGTCTCTATCAAGGTAAAGAAACACAATCTTTCACACAATCTGGCCCTTTCCTCATGGCCCACTATTCTGCCAGCCACTTCTCTCTCTTATCTTCAGGCTCTTACAAAAACCCTTCTTCAGTCCGGAACATTGCTCTATTCCCATTGGCTCACTAATTCCTACTTGTGTTTCAAAACTGTGCAAGGCTACCTCCTCCTAATGCCCCCAGGCTAAGAAGACCCTCCTCTGGGATCCCCCAGCCCCCTGTACCTGTCACAGTTACATAAACTACAACAGAAACTGGATCAGATCCCCAAATCAACTCACCTGCCCAGGGGACCACTTACAAGCCTATGCTTACTTCACAGAGGACTCAGACCATTCGGGAGTAGGGTGCAAAATGGCTCAGTCGGAGGCCCTGCACTCCACTGAAGGAAGGCTCACTCAGACGCAGAGACACTGGGGCTCAGCCTGCGGATTCAGCCTCACAACTCCGGAAAAGAGTCAGAGTCCTTTCCTGCCACCTAGGAGTCTGCACTAAGATGGGGTGTAAAAGCAGCTCTGATGCCACCTATAGGCTGTGCTGGGGAAGGGGAGGATGACCAGTGCAGCACAAAGCACCCTGAATGAGGGGCCAGGAGGCCCAGGCTCTCGGTCTGTTTGCCCCCTACATCTGAGGGACCCTGGACCCTGCAGCTCTCATGGACTCCACTTCCTCATCTGAGGAATGGGGCAGCTCTACTGGCCCATCCACTTTGCGATGGTATAGCCTTGAAGCCAACTCTGAGAAGAATAAAACTTACAAAAAGTGGCGGGTATAATTAGAGGTCATGCTAGAAGACAGCAGGGCCAGCTGAGGACACTGTAGCCACCAGCGTGCCCCGCTCCCCTCAGGGGAGCTGCAGCACCACCTACTGCTAGGGAAGAAAGCTGGGGGCAGCCTGGACCCTCTCCCACCTGCTCATGGATCAGTGCTGGCCCCCAGGGGCTTCCCTTCTTGGGTTCCCTATCTGCCCCGCTGCACTGGGAATTCCTTGGGAATGGAGTGGGGACAGTGTCCTTCATCCCTGCTCAGTGAATGTAGATGGCCAGATGTGTGAGCCAGAGTCCCGGAGCAGGCAGGGGGCCACACGGAGGCCAGTGCTGCAGCCAGCCCTGCTCCCCAAGCCCCGTGCCCTGTCCCAATGACCCCTTCTTCACACAGGCTTCCTAGAGTGCTGATGCCCAGCCAAGTCCCACCCCATCACCTCCCAGGTCCCCAGACCTCCACTCTCATCATCCCTCACCAGCCACCTGGTGAAGTCGCAACCGTATGATTCTTCTAAACTGATGCCATGGTGACCACAGTCATGTGGCATCTGCTGTCCACTCAGCAGTCCTAAATGCATTGGAACCCCACCCCCGCCCCTGAAAAGGCATAAAATGCAAACCAATGAAGCACCTGCTAAGGCTGGGGAACCTGTCTTCTAAAGGTCACATGTGGAAAACATTTTAGTTTTTCTTTTTTCCTTCTTCCAGCTTTCTTTCTGACTTAAGTCCTGATCCCTCCTCCAGCTCTGTGCCTTCCCTAGCCTGCTCCCTTCACCCCATCTGGACAGGAAAGTGCTCAAGTCTCCACTGCCAGCCTGTTCTCCCAAGGCCTGCCCCAGAACTGGCCCAACAGCCCACAGCCCCCCTGCAGCTGAATGCATGAGCTCTGGAAGGGCCAAGGCATGGCTCTCATTCCCTTTCCCCTGCCAGCCCACATCCGCTCTCCCCGACTTCATCCCTTACCCGCTGCACCTCGTCAGTGTCATTTCCCAAACCCCCAGCTTGTAGGGGCACCCTGATGGTCCAAAGTCCCAAGGAGGCAGCTTCAGAGCTGGTACCACACAAGGCTCATGTCTTCAGAGCCTGCACCATCCTTCCCCTAGGGTGGAGGAGACCCTCACCTGCCCTAGGAAAGGATAAGCCAGGAATGTGAACACCTCAGCCCCTTGGGCTGTTCTGCTCCCTCCACCCTCTTCCTCCTGGAAAGTGTTCTGGGGGTTGTCTCTCACCTGGCACTGGGCTGTGGCTCCTCAGCTGGTCGTGTCTCCAAGGGCAGAAGCACAAGCGGGGAGGCTGGGGTGGCTGCAGCGCGGTCTTCCCTGAGTGGGGCAGGGGAGCCCCCCGGTGGGGAGGGCTCAAAAGGGCCAGGGGGCAAGGCTGGCTCCCCAAGAGGTGGGGAGGAAGAGTTCAGGGGCCAGGCTCCAGGCAGGGGAGAGCATGGAGGGCTAGGCCCCCCATGGTGGTGACTGGCCCAGAGCGGGAGAGGGGGTGGTGGAAAGGCAGGCTCTGGAGGAGTGGGCAGCTCTTCTGGCCCAGAGTGGATGGAAGATTCCCTGGACCCTGGTGGGGATGTGGATGGGAGGCTGGGGGGATCTCGGCTCTCCTGAGACAAGAAGGGGCTCGAGGCATCCTCCCTGGAGGCCCACAAGTCAGCCTGCTGGGAGGTGGCTGACAAGGGCCCAAGCCCTTCTCCTACTGGTCCCTGGCTCTGGGCCTCAGGAGCCTCAGGGCCTTCTCCCTTCTCTGGAGGCCCCCAGATCTGCTGACTCTGAAGAGCCAAGCTCTCTGAGTAACAGGGTACGGGGGCAGGCGCCTCAGGGCAGCTGGTGGGCACAGACAGGCCAGGTCCAGGCTCAGGGAGGCTGGCATCCTCTGCTAGATCGTCCGGACCTGGCTCGCCCAGCAGGGTCACAGAAGAACGGCTGTCAGACTCCTCTGAATCGGGCTTCTCTCCCTCCTCCTTGGTCTCCTGGGGACCAACGACCAGTGCACTTGGGGAAGCATCTTCTCCTCCTGTCCCCACCCCGCTGTTACTCAGCCCCCCTGCGGCCTTCTCCTCTTTCTCCTCCTCCTCTTCTTGGGAACTTGAGGGCGTGAAGAGGCGTGGTGGCTTGGGAGGTGGTGTGCTGGGCTGCAGCCCTTTGTCAGACGCCCACTCGGGCTGAGGCTCTGGCTCCGGCTCCAGTGGGGCAGGCCCCTCGCTGCCCCTGAGGCTCACAGTTTCTGGCGATTCTGGCTGCACCTGGGGAGGAGGCAGCTCATCAGACTCTCCCTGCAGGACTGGTGAGGCCATCTCAGCTGCTGGAGAAATGGTGACCACATCCCAGGGCCAGGAATCGTCGACAGTATTGAGCTCGTGGAAGAGCTGGCTTTCACCTCGGGAGGCCTCCTCATCCTGGCCTTCAGGGGTGCCATCTGGGCCAGGCAGCCTCTCCCACACACTGATCACTTCTGGGGAGCTAAACAGAGACGTCCCATCGTCTGCTGGACTCTGCTCTGCTTCCCCTTCTGGAGCTGGCGGCTCCCTGTCTGGTTCTGAGGCTGAGGCTCTTGGGTGCAGCTGGGCTGATGTGGAAGGTAGGCC